GTAGCAGCCTACCTACTTCAGCTGATGAGGAACTCCAAGACCCATGAGGCATTGCAAGACTGACAGCCACTGGTATGACTTGCAGCGGCATCATGGGAATTGGTATTTTCACCACTGCTGAAGGGCCAAGGATACCTAGCTCTTTGCTAACCCAAGAACAAAATGTAGTCAACAAGCATAAAGCTTAAAATTAAAGGTCTTTCTGCAGGGATCAACTTTAATCCAGAGATTTCCCCTGCAGTACTTTAGTCTGCTACATGATGTACTCAAATGGTCCGCATCATTCTACCCATTTCCTCTGAGCCTAGGTTATCCTGGACCCATCAGCCTGTGACTGGACAATGAAAGGAGAAGCAGCACTGTATGAGCTCATCTGTCACTCTGATCTTTCCCCCTATCTGTATGCTTCTTGTTTGTGTGAACTCACTGGCTGCTGTGCTGCTGCTTCTTTCTCTGACTCCAGCCCTGCTGTACAGGGATTGGAAGTGAATGACACTAGGTCAAATACACTTTCATGTTTTTAGAAATACAATTAATGATGTATGATGATTGCAGAATTGCACTCATTTGTGTTTTTTGTATCTGTCCTAGAGTTGGGCTTGAATTTATTGTAGTTTACCAGTCCATAGACATGGTGGCTGCATTAGTTTTTCTCTGATTTTAATCTGGAGATCCTGCCAGTGATACACTTCCTGTCCTAATATCACCCCACAATATACAGTGCTTACATCATTATATAAAGTGCAAATTAAATAAAGTGCAATAAACTATTACACAAGTGCAATTGCTATTATATAAATGTATAACTCCTTACATATATAAAGTGATTCATATATACAGTTGTGTTCAAAATAATAGCAGTCAGACATCACTAACCGGATCAATCACTGTTTTTGGTAGAAATGATATTTCTACATGGCAAATAATTTCCTAGCATGTAGTAGAGTCATAGAAATCCAACAGACCCAACAGTCATGACATGCATGCTGCTGATTCTGTGTCATTGAATCACTCATTGAAAGGGGCATGTTCAACATAATAGCCGTGTGGAGTTCTATTATTGAGGTCATTCATTCTTTGAAAAACAGGTGGCAATTATTGCCCTTATTTAAGGAAGGAAGGCAGCAAATGTTGGACATGCTGGTTACAGTGCATTTCTCTCTGAAATTCTGAGGAAAATGGGTCGTTCCAGACATTGTTCAGAAGAACAGCGTACCTTGATTAAAAAGTTGATTGGAGAGGGGAAAACATACAAAGAAGTGCAGAAAATGATAGGCTGCTCAGCTAAAATGATGGCAAATGCTTTAAAATGGCAACCAAAACCTGAAAGACGTGGAAGAAAGCGAAAAACTACCATTGGAATGGATAGAAGAATAGCCAAAATGGGGCGGACTCAGCCAACAATCAGCTCCAGGAAGATGAAAGAAGGTGTGACGTTCCCTGTGAGGACTGTTACAATTAGAAGACGCCTATGTGAAGCCAAGCTATCTGCAAGAAGTCCCCGCAAAGTCCCACTGTTGGGAAAAAGACGTGCTGAAGAGGTTACAATCTGCCAAAGAGCACATTGACCGGCCTAAAGAGAAATGGCGCAACATTTTGTGGACTGATGAAAGTAAGATTGTTCTTTTTGGGTCTAGTGGGCGGAGACAGTTTGTCAGACGACCCCCAAACACTGAATTCAAGCCACAGTACACTGTGAAGACAGTGAAGCATGGTGGTGCAAGCATCATGATATGGGGATGTTTCTCATACTACGGTGTTGGGCCTATTTATCGCATACCAGGGATCATGGATCAGTTTGAATACATCAGAATACTTGAAGAGGTCATGCTGCCTTATGCTGAAGAGGAAATGCCCTTGAAATGGGTGTTCCAACAAGACAACGACCCCAAACACAGCAGTAAACGTGCAACATCTTGGTTCCAGACCAACAAGATTGACGTTATGGAGTGGCCAGCCCAATCCCCGGATCTTAATCCAATAGAAAACTTGTGGGGTGACATCAAAAATGCCGTTTCTGAGGCAAAACCAAGAAATAGAGAAGAACTGTGGAATGTGGTCCAATCATCCTGGGCTGGAATACCTGATCACAGGGGCCAGAAGTTGGGGGACTCCATGCAACACAGATGTACAGCAGTTCTCAGAAAACAGTGCGACTACAACCAAATATTCATGAAGTCATTCAAAGGAAAGCAAAATCTTCAAACATTTCTCAGTTTATATAGTGAATGTTTGAGTTTGTACCATCTAATATTCACTTTTCTTCAATTTCTTTAGAGGAACACAAATTTGATGTATTTTTCTTCATGTTGTGATGTGGAATAGAATGCGTCGTGTTCCCAATGCATTTGTGTGGATGGAAATAAAAGCTATTAGAAGGATTTTCAGCTTTATTCACTTTTTTCAACACACTGCTATTATTTTGAACACAACTGTATATCCTTCAAATATTACATCTGTCCATAAAGTACAACAGTTTTTCTTTCACCAAAAAGTGCAGTGGTATATAACTTCTCTGTGTAAATAAACTGCTTCATGCCGTTCCACCACTTCCAATCTCTGCTCTTTGTGCTCCATTCCACCTCCGTGTGCCACCACCACCACTACTGAGAACTCACCGGACAGCCATGACCTTCTCATTTAAGAGTTGGTTTATTTGCGCCTATTTGTATGTATAAGGTCCCTACTCCAGTTGGTCACTCCACCATGTTCCTCACTTATAGCTTCACCAAGGGTATCATATATTTAGGTGAGAAAAAGAGACTCCAACAGGGGCGGACTGACCATTCGAACACTCGGGCACTGCCCAAGGGCCCGGGGTCATTAGGGGGCCCCACGAAATGCCTCTGGTACCTTTTTTATAGGCTTTTTTGGGTGTGCTTTGAGTGTGGGCAAGGACACAGGGGCCCCATGATCCCCGGGGGCCTCATGAGTTGTCAGTCCGCCTCTGGTCTCCAATAACATAAAATACTCTTTTGTAACTCCCATAACAAGCATTAAAACCATCGGTTATCCCGCTCACATTTAATAGTGCATTGCGCCCTGCACGTGGGTTTAAACGCTAAATCTCATACCCGGCCCGCCCTGCCTCATTGCTCAGGCCGCTCCACAATACTAGTGTGTCTCATAAAATCCAGGACAATGTACGCCTTGAGGCGGAGCTTCAGGAAATGACGGTCCAGTGACCCAAAAGTGATGACACGCCTGAGCGATGAAAGGCAGGGCCCGGACCACAACCCCTGTACTGCCCAGCAGCCCTCGACTGACTGTGTATCCTGTATGGAGGGTTTATTCAATCATCTACTGAACTAGGTGTGACAAGATGAACAGATGCCATTCGCCTCCTCAGGAAATGCTGCAAAGGTGCTACAACTTCTTACTAAACAGTAGATGAGGAAAGCTGCTGAAAGACAAGAATGTGAACTCTGAGGATGAATTGTGCCACGGTGGCACATTTAATAGTGCATTGCACCCTGCACATGGGTTTAAACGCTCAATCTCATACTCGGCCTGGCCTGCCTTTCATTGCTTAGGCATGTCTCACCAATGGTTTTAATGCTTGTTATGTGAGCTTTTAATAAAGGGTATTATACACTATGGAAGTATTTTTCCCTCCTAAATATATGATACCCTTGGCGAAGCTATAAATGAGGAGCATGGTGGAGTGACCAACTGGAGTGGGGACCTTATACATACAAATAAGCGAATATAGACCAGCTCTTAAGTGAGAAGGTCATGGCTGTCCGCTGAGTTCTCAGTACTGCAAAGTGAAAACAAAAAGCGCACCAACCTTGCGCATTACCTCAATAGAAAACTGTGATTTTATTAAAATGAGAGATATACTCACAAACAAAGCAGTATAACAAGCGTATAAAATCCTGAAAGGAACATTGAGGTGCAAGTCACCTCAAGAGGGGAAATTCTGAGTTCACTGACGCGTTTCGAAGAGGTGAGAGTCCCTTCTTCCTCAGACCCCCCCTTCGAAACACGTCAACTGAACTCTGAGAGTCTCCCCTCTTCATGTATATGTACAAACGCACACGTTCCTGCGTTAAAAATGGCGGTGTGTATAAGTGGGTGCTGCAGCGATTGTCGGCTGGAACTGAACAGAATCAGCAAGGGAGGATGTCACCAGCACACCGAGGATCACCAATACGGGTCCAAAGGTTTTAATGAACGATCACATAGTTACAGCAAGGCAACGTTTTGGAGTCTCACAGGACCCCTTTCATCAGCCATGTGACAGGCATGGTCCCATGCCTGATGAAGGGGTCCTGCGAGACTCCGAATCATTGCCTTGCTGTAGCTATGTGATCGTTCATTAAAACTTTTGGACCCATATTGGTGATCCTCGGTGTGCTGGTGACATCCTCCCTTCCCCTCTAGATGTGACTTGCACTGGTCTTGCACTTCAATGTTCCTTTCAGGATTTTATACGCTTGTTATACTGCTTTGTGAGTATATATCTCATTTTAATAAAATCACAGTGTTTTATTGGGGTAATGCGCAAGGTTGGTGCACTTTCTTTTTGTTTTCACTTTTCAGTACTGATTGGGCTTGTTAAGAGCTGCACAACCTTTGATTCATTAGTGGAAGAACTTCCTTAGTGGTCTATCCATCCACCCACCCACCCTTGATCTGAGTCCCTGAGGGCTGGAGGTGTTGTTTCTTTTTCGAGCTCTCAGTAGTGGTGGTGGTGGCACACAGAGGTGGAGTGGAGCACAAAGAGAAGAGATTGGAAGTGGTGGAACTGCATGAAGCACTTTATTTACACAGAGGAGAAGTTATATTCCACTGCACTTTTTAGTGAAAGAACTGTTGCACTTTATGGACAGATGCATTGAATTGAGGGATATATATGGAGCACTTTATATATTTAAGGAGTTATATAACAGCAATTGCACTTGTATAATAGTTTATTGCACTTTATTTAATTTGCACTTTATATAATTATGTAAGCGCTGTATATTTGTAGGTGACAGGGGTGGACTGACAACTCATGGGGCCCCCGGGCAATAGGGGATCATGGGGCCCCTGTGTCCTTGCCCAAACTAAAAAAAGCCTATGAAAAAGGTACCAGGGGCATCTCATGGGGCCTCCTACTGACCCCGAGCCCTCGAGCAGTGCCTGAGTTTCCAAATGGTCAGTCCGCCCCTGGTAGGTGATATTTGGTTTAACACAGGGGCCTAGGAGCGTTGTTCCTGAAGAATGCAGCATTTTTCAGCCTTGAGGACCTCAGAATAGACCTCACAAACCTACAATGATAGTGGTTATAGGCATCTTGTGCATTGCATCAAAGATTGCCCACTGTCTGTTTACCCACTTGTAGGGGTGGTCTGGTATTTTAGGGATCGGGGACATCTTGATGCCCCCTTTTATGAAGTTCCACGTTAGTGCTTTGGGCCTTCATGTTTTTCCATACTAATAGTAAATTACTTTTAAAGCAAGCCCACACTGACCTCTGTAGCTGTAGCCACCGTGGCATAATTCATCCTCAGAGTGGCATCTGTTCATCTTGTCACACCTAGTTCAGTAGATTGAATAAACCCTCCATACAGGATACAGTCAGTCGAGGGCTGCTGGGCAGTACAGAGGTTGTGGTTCGGGTTCAAAACAAGAAACCGGGTACACAGTGCATTGACACAGCTGCTTGTAATTGCCCATCAGTAACACATATGGAATGGGAATGCACTTAGATGGAAGTTTAACCGCCTAACACCAGCCTTTCTCAACACACACGTGCAGCATCAAAAGGTTGGTCTTTAGTGCCCACACACTGCACATATGCGTCACTGGGCGGCTGATGTTGTGATGATAACACGCTCCCAGCACAGAGACTGCGCTGTAAAAGAAAGCTCTCGGTCCAGACTAAAGATTGGAAGCCATCAGGACCAGCTTCTGATCATATGACCACTTTGACAGTGGTCACATGGATTGCTGATCTGTCCCTCCCCCTGGGAGCTCAGAAGGGATGCCAGGGTGGGTAGCAGAGTACACAGATGAAATACATGCGGGAGATTTGTAATTCTGCTTATCCATGCTGGAGATTTACACGGCCATGCCTGAGATTTACACGGCCATGCCTGAGATTTACATGGATAACGGATTTTATTCTGCTGCAGTTCAGTAAAACAGGTCTTGTCTCTCCTCCAGCCAGTGACTGGAGAAGCAGCACAGGAAAAGAAGCCGCCTTCCTGTCACTCTGCACTTTCCCCCTATCAGCATCTTCCTTTTCAGGACCTTAGTACTGCTGTTTCTTCCTCCTCAGTCTCAGCTTTGTTGTAAAGGTATTGTAAGAGGCTGATACCATTCTATATTGACCCCTATGATATAGATATATATAGATAAGTGTGTGTGTGTGTGTATATAGACATAGATACAGAGAGAGATCGATAGATATAGATAGAGAGAGATCGATAGATGGAGAGATAGATGGAGAGATAGATAGATAGAGTTAGATAGAGAGAGAGAGATAGATATATAGATACAGAGAGAGATGGAGAGAGAGATATATAGATACAGAGAGAGATGGAGAGATAGACAGATGTTAGAGAGAGAGAGAGAGAGAGAGAGATACAGAGAGAGATGGAGAGATAGACAGATGTTAGAGAGAGAGAGAGAGATACAGAGAGAGATGGAGAGAGAGAGAGAGAGAGATACAGAGAGAGGTGGAGAGAGAGATGGAGATAGAAATAGATGTTAGAAGATAGAGAGAGATAGATATATAGATACAGAGAGAGATGGATAGAGAGAAATGGAGAGAGAGAGAAATGGAGAGAGAGGATGGATAGATAGATGGTGGAGAGAGAGATGGAGAGAGAGATTGAGAGATGGAGAGAGATATATAGATAGAGAGAGATGGAGAGATGGATGGAGAGAGAGATGGATGGATAGATAGATAGATGGATAGAGAGATAGATGGAGAGATAGATAGATACAGAGAGAGATGGAGAGATAGATGGAGAGATGGTTGGATAGATAGATGGAGAGATAGATAGATAATAGATAGATAGATAGATAGATAGATAGATAGATAGATAGATAGATAGATAATAGATAGATAGATAGATAGATAGATAGATAATAGATAGATAGATAATAGATAGATAGATAGATAGATAGATGGATAATAGATAGATAGATAGATAGATAATAGATAGATAGATAATAGATAGATAATAGATAGATAGATAGATAGATAATAGATAGATAAATAGATAATAGATAGATGGAGAGATAGGTATATAGATACAGAGAGAGATAGATAGATATAGATGGAGAGAGAGATGGAGAGATAGATAGATATAGATGGAGAGATAGAGAGATAAATATATATATACAGTAATTTTTTCATTATCTTAATAAAACCAAAACTGTTTTCTCATCGGTTGTCTTTAACGTGTTCAGTCCAGACATAACGGAGATTTCAGTTTGGGTGGATGCAGAGAAGTTGAATTACCCACCATTGCAGTAGCACAACCTCCCTACTGCTACATTGGTATTATTGTATGGACAGTGCTGTGTTGAGGATATGGGACTCCTTGGAGAGGAAATTGGGGGAGACTGGTCTGTTTGCTGGGAAATTTTGCTGCTGGGAATGGGAAAAGCAGTGGCTGATTCACCGGTAACCAGTATGTTTTTCAGTTGGACTGGCCCTTTAGCTGCAGTAGCGCTGTAGATGTACGATGTCAAAGCATGAGATTTTGTTTACCTGACTTGTAGAATTGTGGGAAATAAAAACGCTTATTCTACGAGCAAACACTCGTTATCGAGAAAAGTAATGTCTCTATCCTGCCCGTTCCAATTCCCCGAACCAATCTGCCAGTTGAGTACCATCCCCGCTCTGGGTCTTTTTTTTGCCGAAGCGCCTTTCATCACACAACACGCAATCATGGCACGGTTGTCCCGACGCTCTGGGTAAACCGATGGCGCCTCATTGGATCATCATGCTTCATCCCACCCAACAAGAGAGCCTTGTGCTTCTTGCCTCGTCCACCTTGAACAGATTGCCGAGCTCCGAAGTGAATAATACTCCTGATGTTTCTCCCGCTGCCCTTTTTATCTTTGTAAAATGATTGTATTGATTTGTTAGGTGCAATGCACGCACTCAAGCACCTGTTCCTATCTATCAGTGCTGCGCCAAGTACCGCTCTTTCTCCTTCGTTAAATAACCCCCTCGCTTGTTCTGCACATTATTGGCCCCCAACTCATAAATTCTACCTTATTGCCGCTGTCATTTTTTTTTTTCTTCTTCTGGAGAGATTCTCAGCCTAACCATTGCCTGTACAGAAAGAGAATAACAATGTAGCTCTGAGTCCTCCGCCAAAAATATTCATGTTTACCGCTTCTTACAGATACAGTTGCAAGAAAAAGTATGTGAACCCCTTGGGATTACGTGGAGTTTTGCATGAATGTGCTCTGAACGTAATCTAAGTCACAACAATAGAAGAACACAGTCTGCTGAACATAATACTACACAAACATTAGATGTTTCCACGGTTTAATTGCACATAACATGTAAACATTCACAGTGCAGGGAGGAAAAAGTATGTGAGGCCCTAGCTTAATGACTTCTCCCAGAGCTAATTGGAGCCAGGAGTGAGCCAACCTTGACTCCAATCAGTGTGATGATATTGGATGTGTTGCTGACAGCTGTCCTGCCCTTAAAAAACACACACCTGTTTTGGGTTTACTGGTTTCAAGAAGCACTGTCTGATGTGAACCATGCCTCGCAGAAAAGAGCTCTCAGAAGACCTACGATCAAGAATTGTTGACTTGCATGAAGCTGGAAAGGGTTACAAAAGTATCTCCAAAAGCCTTGATGTTCACGTGTCCACGGTAAGACAGACTGTCTACAAATGGAGAAAGTTTAGCACTGTTGCTACTCTCCCTAGGCGTGGTCGTCCTGTAAAAATGACTGCAAGAGCACAGCGCAGAATGCTGCATGAGGTAAAGAAGAATCCCAGAGTGTCAGCTAAAGACCTACAGAAATCTCTGGCACATGCTAACATTTTTGTTGACACATCTACAATTGCTGTCCAAAAAGAAGATTGCAGCACGTTTGAAGTTTTTGCAAAAGAGCACCTGGATGTTCCACAGCACTACTGGCAAAATATACTGTGGACAGATGAAACCAAGATTGAGTTGTTTGGGAAGAACACACAACACTATGTGTGGAGAAAAAAAGGCACAGCACACCAACATCAAAACCTCATCCCCACTGTGAAACATGGCGGAGGGAGCATCATGGTTTGGGGCTGCTTTGCTGCCTCAGGGCCTGGACAGATTGTTGTCATTGATGGGAAAATGAATTCCAGAGTTTATCAAGACATTTTTCAGGAAAACGTACGACCATCTGTCCGCCAACTGAAGCTCCGCAGGGGATGGGTGATGCAACAGGACAATGACCCAAAGCATACAAGTCATTCAACAAAACAATGGCTGCAACAGCACAGAATACGCCTTCTGGAGTGGCCCAGTCAGAGTCCTGACCTCAACCCGATTGAAATGCTGTGGCATGACCTTAAGAGAGCGATTCACACCAGACATCCCAAGAATATTGCTACACTGAAACAGTTTTGTGAAGAGGAGTGGTCCAAAATGACTCCAGATCGTTGTGCAGGTCTGATCTGCAACTACAGGAAAAGTTTGGTTGAGGTTATTGCTGCCAAAGGAGGGTCAACCAGTTATTAAGTCCTTAGGTTCACATACTTTTTCCTCCCTGCACTGTGAATGTTTACATGTTATGTGCAATTACACCATGGCAACATCTAATGTTTGTGTAGTATTATGTTCAGCAGACTGTGTTCTTCTATTGTTGTGACTTAGATGACGTTCAGAGCACATTTTATGCCCAATTCATGCAAAACTCCACGTAATCCCAAGGGGTTCACATACTTTTTCTTGCAACTGTATGTTGTTTTTGCATCAGCCTTGTTTTTGCTTCTAAAAAGAGAGCGGCATATACGCTGTGCGCACAATTATTAGGCAAGTTGTATTTTTGAGGATTCATTTCATTATTGAACTAAAATACTCTCGGTAAATCCAAAATGTTACTAAACATCAAACCTGAATATTTCAGAAAGTGAAAAAAGTGACCTTTTGGCTTTCTTAGGAGAATATC